GCACCAGAGCCCCGCCCCGCCGGCGCCCGCCGAGTCCCAAACCCGCTTTTCCCGCCTCGCTCCTCCCGCCTGATCTCCCGCGGCCTCCGCTCTTCTCTAGAGCGTCCTCCGCGACCCGCAGCGACTCTCCAGGGCAGGTCGGCTCTCAGCGGAGGCCGCACAGAGGAGCCCTCCTGGGGTCGCGGAGGGCTGAGCCCTGGGCTTCTCCACCATCCGGCTGCGTGGCTCGACCCAGGCTCCTGCCCTCGCTGAGGCCGGTGCCTCGTCTGCGAAAGGAGAAAACGCCCACCCCACAGGCTGCTGTAAAACCAAAGCTCCTGGGGCCGGCAGGTGGGGTGCTGGTTGAGCTTCATAGTCCCAGACTGGTGGCCCGAAATTCACAACAAATGGATAAATACATATTTTTTACATCAAATCTACTTGCTCATAATTTGGGACTGGCAATACTTTTCCAGCCTGATCCCACTTCTCCATCTTTCACTCCAGTTTTACCACCTCCACGTCACTGTCCAAGTAATTTCCCACCACCCACATCAGATCTCGCTCATCTACTTTAAAACTCCAAGGGCGGGGCCAGCAGATGGTGTAATGGTTACATCGCTGGACTCCCACGTAGCCGACTGCGGTTTGAGTCCCGGAGCAGGAGGCTTAAAACAGGCTCTGTGTGTGTGTGTGTGTGTGTGCAGGAGGCTTAAAACAGGCTGTGTGTGTGTGTGTGTGTATGCCCAAGACCCCAGGAGGAAAATGGAGATGGGATTGCAGCATGGCCATCCCCCCAGGGGTTATTAATTTCTCTCTCTCTGTCTCTCTGGTGAGCTCACACATGCCCTATAGCAAAGAAAACTTCCAAGGGTTTCCCACTGACTCCAGGATAAAGCCTACCTGCTTCACACCCTCCACTCGGAGCCCTGCCTACCTCCCACTGATTCATTCACCAAGACACTGCTGCCCACGCGGCAGTAGGCTCCGGAGCTCCAGCGGAGAGTAAGGCAGATTCCTGGCCCTTCCCGTCCTGACATTCCACAGGAAAAAGAATTTGTGCCCCATCAGTTTCTTTTTATTTATTATTATTATTATTGAGAGGGTTTTTTGTTTGTTTGTTTTTGTTATAGGGTGCATGCCCTCGCCAGAGAGACAGAGAGAGAGAAAGCAAGAAATCACCCCGTGGGGGGGCTGGCCACACTACAATCCCTTCTCCTCTATTCTCCTCTTGGGATTTTGGGCACACACATATGTGCCTGCTGTGTTTCAAGCTGCCAGGTCTGAGATTCAAACTTCAGTCAGCCACATAGGAGTCCAGCGTCTTAACCACTATGCCAACTACTCGCCCCTATTATTATTTTTTAAAAATTTGACGAGAGAGTGAGAGAAAGCGAGAAAGCAAGCCTCAAGGATTTGAACCACAGTTGACCAGATGGGAGTCCAGCTCCTTAATCACCACACCACCTGCTGCATACCAATCAGCTGTTCCTAGGCTCCTCTTGGGATCTGTTGAAGGTTCCTGAACAACACGCAGAGCCTCATAGCCCCACAGCTTTGCAGCTACTGTGCCCTCTGTGTACCACACTCCCCGTTTCCTCCCTGACACATTCTTCTCACCCCTCCACCCCATGCCCAGTTTTGGCTCAGTGAGATCTTCCTGCCACCCTCAGGCTGAGTTCTCAGAGCACCACAGAGATACTGCTATTCTAGCACTTACCATGGGGTCTTTCAGTTCTCCAGGTGATGTCTGCCCCCCAGGGGCTGCTCAGAGTCACGTCTGTATCCCACTAGCATCCGGCCTAGCCCTGGGGCCCTGGTGAGCACGCACAGCTTGTGTGGATGGCTGCAGCACAACTCTGTCCAGGAAAAAAAGTGCTTGCTGCAGCTGTGGCCTAGTTCCCTCCGCAGTCAAGGTTCTCAGCCTTCCTGCTTTCCTTCTGGACCTTTTGGGTGCCGCACACGCAGGCTTGCACACATGCACACTAGCACACCTCCCGTGGAGGCCTCGAGCGTCTGACACGACTGCTGCACCTGGACAGTCCCCCCGCCCCCAGTGCAGTCTGCTGTGTACCCGCCTCTATTCACATTCTCGACTCTGGTGCACCCCACAGCTTCTGCCTCGGGGAGCTCCCTGCACCACGAGACAGCCACAGAAATTGCCCCGGTCTGTGTCCCTGGGTCCTAAATCTCCCCTCTCACCTTTGTCCACACTGACAGGGTCCCAGTCACCCACTCTGCCATGCCTAGCCCTCTTGGAGGGGATTTCAAGTCCAGAAAACGGGAGTCTAATTGTCCCCAACATCACCGTTGTTGATTCTAAGGCAGGGTCAGACCGCCTTCTTGGGGGCTGTCTTCTTGTCTGACAGAATCCTGAGGACCAAGATGAGGCCACCTCCCACCTCCACCCCAGAAACGGCCTCAGGTGACACGTACTCCCTCTCTTCGGCCCCTGCCAACACAGAGACGTCAGTCTTGGCAAGGCTTCTGGACACCATGGCCTGCAGTGGTCAGACTCGTGGCTGCTGGTGTTCTGTTCCTACCACGAGCTCGTACATTATGCAGAGGGTGGACAGGGACCAGGCCTGCTTATTGCCGTGCAAGCCAATGGGAGGGGTGATACCTACACCCCACTTTGCCAAGGCCCCTCTTCTACCACATCACACCACGTGTTGGAGGCAGGGAGAAACTGACTTCACAATAAGCCAGATAATCACGAAGTCTCCTTCTTAAAGTTCAAAGCTGGACATGTCAGCTAGTGTCGCATGAGGTTTTGCACTGCCCCTGTGACAGGGAAGGATCTGTACTCTCTACTCCCAACCATTAGGGGGTGGGTGAGAGATCAGAGATGCAGAGAAGGCCCAGATGAAAGCAGCCTCGGCAGGCTCCGGCTGGGGGCGGGAAGGGAACCTGGCAGTCTTGATTCTGATCTAATGTGCTCAGCCCCCTCCTATGGCCAGCAGACAATGCAGAGATTAGGTCAGATGCTAGGCGTGTAAGCAAGCGCGATCTCTGTGCCCCATCAGTTCTTTCAGGGCTCCTCTTGGGATCTGCTGAAGGTTCCTGAACAGTGCACAGAGCCTCACAGCCTCCTTTATTATGAGAATGAAAGGCCTGGGCTTAGGTAATTACCCTGGGGGAATTAAGACGCTGAGCTGAGGCAGAGTTAGCATCAACAGAGGCCTCTCCACAGATCTTATCTTATTTAATCTTCACAGTACTCCTGAGTGGCAGAAACAATTATTTCCATCTCTTAGGTGGGAAAGAATTACAGCCCAGTTGGAAACAAACAAAATGTTAGAGGTTAGATCTTGGTTTAAATTCCGGTTCTGGCATTGTGCGTGTGTGTGTGTGTGTGTGTGTGTGTGTGTGAGAGAGAGAGAGAGAGAGAGAGAGAGACAGACAGACAGACAGACAGAGAGACAGACAGACAGAGAGACCTTGGGCAATTCAGTTGACTCTCTGAGCCTCCATCTTTCTAGTAACTGGGGATTCCTGTGAGAGATGGGCAGGGCTTATTGTGAAATATGATTAGAAAAACTGTATGTAAAATATCTGGCATAGAACATGGGCTCTGTAAAACATATAACAATAATGGCCACTGTGTTTTTCCAAAGAATTATTCATTTAATTTTATTTATTCATTCAATTATTTTAATTTGACCAGAGAGAGATAGAGAGAAGGAAAGTGAAAAAGCAAGCCATTAGGTTTGGGACTTGAACTGCGGTCATCCATGTGGGAGTGTCCAGCACCTTAACCACCATGCCACCCGCTGGTCCTCAGTGACAACTTTTTTTTTTTTCCTGAGAGATTTTCGCTATAGGCCGGTGCGCTCGCCAGACAGAGAGAGAGAGAGACATAGAGACAGAAAGCAAGAAATCACCCCCCAGGGGGGATGGTCACGCCACAATCCCTTCCCCTCCATTCTCCTCTCGGGATCTTGGGCACGCACGCACACGCGCCCGGCATGAGTTTTAAGCCACCAGGTCTGGGACGCGAACCGCGGTCGACTACGTGGGAGTCCAGCGACATAGCCATAACGCTAACTGCTGGTTCCCCAGTGACAACTATTAATGAATACCACAATAAATACCGATTGACATAGGAATGGCATTTCACCTATATCTCATTTAATCATCCCAGCAGCCTGATGTAGAAGTGCTGTTGTTTTCTCCATTTAAAATTTTATTTGTTGGGGCCAGCAGGTGGTATGGTTAAGGCACTGGACTCCCACGTAGCTGACCATGGTTAGAGTCCCAGAACTGGTGGCTTGGTTTCTCACGTTCTCTCTCTCTCGCTCGCTCTTGCTCTCACTCTCTCTGTCTCTCTCTGGTGAGCACATGTGCCCTGTAACACATTTAAAAAGAATAATAATAATAGCTGAAATTTAAAAATATTATTTGCTGGGCCAGCAGGTGGTGTGGTAGTTAAGGCAGCTGGACCCCATATAACCAATCATACAATTTGAGTCTCAGGCACTGCGTGAGACTCATACACTTGGTGTGCCCAAAATCCCAAGAAGAGGATAGAGAAGGAACTGCAGCATGGCCATCCCCCCAGAGGTGATTTCTCACTTTCTCTCTCTCTTTCTCTCTCCTTCTCTGTCTCTCTATGGTGAGTGCACATGCCCTATAGCAAACTAAAAAAAAAAAAAAAAAAAAGGGATTTATTTGTTTTTATTCATGATAGAGCACACGTGAAGTCAGAGAGAAAGAGAGGGGCACACTCCCCAGGGGCTGGTCACACCATGATCCCCACTAGCCCTCCAGCCCATTGAATCCTGGGTACTCACATTTGCACGGCGTGTTCCAGGCCAAGCAGGCCAGGAACCTGAGCTGCAGCCGCGATGTGGGACCACCTTTCCTTGAGTGTATTTTCTCCATATTATAGTTAGGGAGGGGGGGTGGCTCCGAGGAGTTAAATAATTTATACTAGGACTTCTGGGAGAACCAGGACTTAGGCCTAGGAAACAAGACTTGGTGTAGGTACAACAGAGACTCAGAGAGGTTCTGAAACTTGGCCAAGGTCACACAGCCAGCCTACGGGGGTAAGAAAAGGCTGGGCCCCTTTGTTGTGGGACCCCAACTCACCTGCTGTGCGCTTTTCCTCACTTTGTTTCTGGTGTGCAGATAAAGGGTGGGACTGAATTGCTTGGAACAGTACCTAACCTGGGACAGGGACAAATAAAAGTCCTAAATAATACATGCCCTGGCATCCTGGCCAGGACTCTCCCCAGAGCACGGTGGGCGGGGGGGGAACC